GGGGCATCTCGTCCACTCAAGGGACAAAAACCCTCTTATAACATATACCTATTCATGGGACAGTTTGTTTTAGGCTTGAGTTTGTCCCTTGAATGTTAATTCCCACTTCACAACACTACGTGTGAAGTTGAAAAGGTTTGTGAAAGAATATTGTATGGAGTAAAATTCAAAGTGAAACATACTTATCTCTGAGTAAGTCGCCCTGGACTGTTGCTCCAAACAGTAATACTGAGGTGAGATCTTCAAGCTTTGTTAAAGTATAATTACAACAAAACACACCTATGCAAGTAACAGAAGGTAAAACTTTCCAGTAGAGGAGCCATCTGTTTGTGAGTTATCAAAGCCTCATTTTTCTGTAATCAGTAGCTGTTACATTTACATACTCAGTGTTATCAGACCTAGTTCATATAGTTGAATCTCAATGCTGAGAGAAAAGAAAACTTTCAAGATGTTTCAGTTACTCATTACCATGTTACTCCGTTTAGAAACAATCCTATCATGATGGGAAGCACAAGCGAGCACCACTGAAGCCTCTTATTCATTTTAATATAAGCCAGCTTTTACAATTTTACAACTTTTCTTTGGTAATGGTTTCATTATGACAGCTAGGCGATTTCTGATCACTTCTCACTAATAATTTTTTCCCCACGAAAATTGATCAAAAAGTTTGAGGTGCAGCCTATAAATGGGTGTGGCCCATCTGCGGGGAAATACGGTGCTTCTGAGATAAAACACCAAATTCAGAAGATTTAGATTTTGGATCTTGGGAACTTAATACGCTGAATATTATGGACGAAGCCAAGGATACAGACAACAGATGTAGTTGTTATGGCTGCTATTGTACCCTTAGGAATAGACTGCTGTGCATCCTTCAAGTCACCAGACCTGTTCGACCCTGCCATGATACCTTTGGACAATCATAGCCTCATAATCAGAGAAAGGATCCTTGTATACCACACACAACTTAAACTCAGAAAAAACCTTTTAATCTCTGTGTTACCTACCAGTGACAGAAGGAAAGAAAATTGCCAGTAGAATGAAAAATGATGTGGAGATATCAGATCTCACTTCCCCTTGATATTCACCAGCCTGGACACCAGGAGAAACTTCATCCTTCTTCAGATACTGACTGTTCCAATTCTCTTTAAATCATTTACAACAGAAGTGCATTCCATGTTAAGTCAGAAAAAAGCCAGGTACCCCAGACTGGCAGCAGGGGCCTGTACAGCAAATTTTTTTGGTAAGGCCCAGGCTTTAGATGAATGTATAAGCTTCAGCCAACAAGGCAGGGGGATGGGGGCATACTAAACAAGACAAGTTTTTTTCAAAAAAGGAGAGGCTAAAGCCCTCCCTGACTGCCAGAGTTCATGGCAATTGCTACTCTACCTCCCCTGGAGAGGATACTAGTCTAGTCTAGTTACCTCTGAGTATTTTGTCAAAAAATTGACAGTTTATTGGTACTCATTTTTATTTTGTTCTGAAGCATCTCACAGGGCCAGAATCTTAAAATCTTTGAAACAGATTGGCTCATTGCCCACTCACATCAAGTCAATATTTTTTAATAATATGGACCATGATCCAGAATTTTTTTTTCTTTTTCAAACTCTAGATCCAAGGAGACATTTTATTCTAATAAGAACCTCCAGCCCAATAAATAACATACGAGTACTCCTGGGTGGAGAGAGAGGCACTTTAAGAGTAAAAGTGTCTTGCCAAAGAACGAAACACATTAACCTGGTCTGGGCTCAACCATGGCCAACTTTCAATCATACCCCACCACCCATCCTACTAATGAACTATACTTTGCATGAAACAGCCACAACAATACAAAAAACTATCTTTAAAAATCAGTTACAGTTAAAAAAAGAGTCAAGGAATGAACACTGGAATGAAAAAGTGAATGAATGGGTGAATAAACAAATGAATGAACAAACAGAAACTAAGATGGAATTAGTTTCTTGGTCTACAAAATTAACTTACCAACAAAAAGCCCACTGGGAATGCCTGGCACTCCAACCACATCACTCAGAAGATTTTCTCTCCAGAATGTCTCATCATTTCTGTATGTTGCATTTAGTAAAGTATCATTCCTTGCACACTCATGATAACTGTTACTGGCTAATAACTTGTCACCTAACAAACAGATCCTGCAACAATAAAGAGCTTTTTTTTAATCAGCATATGGGAAATTCAGAATCTACATTTGATTATGAACTCTGTAGAGAAAAACAAAGGGCCATGGTATAAAGGGTTAATCATAAGCCCTGATATAAAAAGGGGTTTAAATCAAGAAACAATGAACTCATTATCTTAGACAATGACTTAATCTATACTTACAAATTTCGTCAGCTTTGTTATGAAAACAATAATGAATAAAACTGGCTGATTTAATGCCCAAGGAAAGTTTGACTGAATGAGGAGAACACATTTTTCCTCACCTGGGCATTTCCCGAGCATGTGCAGAAAAGAATCCGAGGTAGATGGCCAAGATGGAAAACAACACACAGACCAGAAACAGAGAGGCACATTTGTTGACATACTTGACACCAATAAAAACCACTGCAATTAGTAAAATCAACAAGATGGAGCCATACACCCTCATGTTGTTTAACATCACTGGAGACTGTGCACCACCTCCTGATCTCACATCTCCAAAGAGGGACATTGATGGAGCCATGTATGTCTGTAAAAAAAAATAAATAAAAAAAAATAACAATTAAAACATTTGCATTTGAAGCAGTTGTTCCTAAATTACTCTGCCACTAGAGAGTTATTACCCAAAACACGGAGTGGAACCCAGCTTTTGCAACAATTGTGCCATTAAGCTTAGGTTTCTTTGAACACTGCTTTCCCTACCTACCACTCAGATCTTTATTAAATACTCATGAGACAAATTGAGGCAAAAGGAAGACAACAAGAAAGACCTTTTAAGTTAGTCTAGTCAGTCACCTTCCAAGAAAGTTAATCCAGGGTCTATTTGAACACTGCAACATAAATTAAACTGTTTTAATTGTAAGCTTTCAAAAG